AAATGTATTTAGTTACAGAATACTGAATACTTAAAGGTGCCCTGTGTGACTTTTCTGGCAGCTCGACCTTACATCTATTAATGCAAGGAACGTCTGTCTGTGTCTCCTTCTGTTTGTTTGTTTGTTTATCTTTTCCACGAACCACTCATCCGACTCATCTCAAATTTGGAGGGTGTCATCCTGATGGGACGGGTGTGTTCAGTGAAAAGTTTCATGTTGTTAGGGAAACAAATGCCAAAGAAAGCTCGGTTAAAGAATCCGAATCTATGGCTACGTTCACACTGCAGCCTGAAGTGACCCAAATCAGATTTTTTGACCCCTATGTGACCTGTATTTGATCTTTTAATGAATGATCTGATCCGATTTTTTCAAATGCGACCCAGGCCACTTGGATATGTGCTCCTAAAACCGATACATATCTGATCTTTTGACATGCGACTTCGGTCTGAACGGCCAAGGCGCATTCATTCAACCTACACGTTATCACATGGTGGACTTGGCTATTGTGCGGTAACAAGCACCTGTTGCAAACCAATACAGCCCAATACAGACGCGTTTGCTCACGGGAAATAAGCCGCCGAAGATGTGTTTCCTTCTGTGAGAGTGGCACAAGTAGGCGCTCACAAATGTACACAAACATTCTTCTCGTCATATGAAAACTGTTAATGAACTCCGTGTCACTGAAGTGAAGCACATCACCACTCACCACTCTTGGCTTACGTCTCCACATCCACACGTTCCTTTCAACGGACGTCGCTGCCGCTGCCCCACAAAACACCACGACCAAAAACCTCGTCCTTCTCCTTCTCAGTCTCCTCCTTAAAACAAGTAAGTTGTTCATGTTCTGGCTCCGGTACAAGAGGAACTTTAAAATCTCCAGGTGCTCAATGCTCGCGTCCATGTTTGGACAACTTCCGTAAACACAGAGCACGCTCGCTGCAGTTGACATTGTCGTGTCCTCCAGTGCGCATGCCGGACACTTTTGGGCCGTTTAAAGTTCACACTGGAGATCACATAAAAGTCACATTTAATTGGAAATATGAACGACCTCGCGAAAAACATCAGATTTCACAAAAACAATCCAAATTGAGCAGTAAACCACAGTCTGAACGCTACTATGTGTTTTCACCATTTTTGTTATAAATGTTTTGTTATAAAAGACAGTTTAGTCACAGAGAAACTGGATTAGAATTGTATTATATCTCATGTCTGTATTTGCATTAACAGAGACACAAAGAAATTTGTGAATGTAGGTGGTCTATGTACCATTGTTTTTTGTTTTTTTTCATTTTAGTTAAGAACAAAAAACAATACATTCGGAAAACAGTTTGTTATTTCATTATTCCATTTTAGTGTCAAACAAAAAACAGATTTTGACCTCTGTTTCCAATATTTAAAGTTTAAAGTTTTCATATTTTATTCTCTCTGGTTTATTTGCACCTGGAAATTCTGCTTTATCGCCTCACTGTGACCTGTTTCTCTTCCTGGAGTTGAACAATGACTTTCTAAGACGCAAAAGTAAACACATCGCTATAAAAGAAGACGACATTTGTCCACAAAATTGCAACGATTTTTCAGAAATCAAATAATAAATTGCGTGATCTGCAGCACTTTCTTGTGATGTCTGCGCTCACTGGCCTCCACAATTTTCAAATCCTTGTTTCTGTTATTAAATTGTTTTAGATCACTATTGTTGATTTAAAATGTCCAAATTATAACAAAATGATCCACTAGTGTCAGATTATAGATTATAATTACTAGAATACAACGCACAAAAGCACAGCATGTCTCAAAGTACAAAATGAAACCTCTCTTTTTCTCTTACTTTTGAATACTACTTTTTGAAGGATTCTTTCAGCAACTAAAATTGTATTAAATGGATGAGCAATTTGGACATTTTTACATTGGTTTTCAAAGCCGCACAAACTAGACAAGAGACCTGGTCAGTGTGGACTTCAGAGAGTGACATTATAATCTCATTTTGGTGGAGAGACCGTCATCAGCTTGTCTCCATGGAGATGTCACAGCTTTTCCTGGAACATTACGCAAAGTGATATTAAATGTGTTCATCTGTGCGGTCAGGTCATTACCTGTGATTTTACTACTCACATTTAAAAACATGACATGGAGTTCAGTTTAATGTCATACTGTGATTTAGCGTCTCCACGGAAACAAACAAATGGAAAACCAAAGACCAGAAACGCTACATAGTTCATCTTTAATTTATTACACACACATTGAGAAGTAACTGAATACATGTGCCGAAAATTTACTAATTTGGAGTAACTTTTCTTAGCTTTGAAATGCACGGTATTAGTGAGGAAAAAAAGAAAGTTCCCTCCTCTACGGAAGCCAAGAGGGGCCACAACAAACGGAAACGCCACAACAAATACAAATGCGACAACACAACAAAAAGCCACAACACACCAAAAAAAGCCACAACGGAAGTGACCACGGGACTCTATTTTCCGACCGGACCGATCAAGCGGCAAGTGAAGAAGAAGAACTACAACGTGAAATGAATAATGATAAAACTAGGGATGGGCATTTGATGAAATTTTCTTAATCGATCGTCAGAAAAATTAACAATTGATTATCGATTAATCATTAACATTTTATATTAAAATGATCGTCATTATTATTACTATCTGCACTAATCTGCATAAATAAATTCAACTTTACGACAAATAAACCGTAACGACTCTAGAGCCACATCAGCCCGTTTATTATAATGTGTTTAAATCTGTTTTGCGCAACTTTCACAGAAACAAAACTTAAACCGCATCGCTAATTTGCATAAACTAAACGAAGATAAAACTACAGCTCTTGTGTCGCTGATGCAGTTCAACTTCTGTTGGATTAAAAGACATGACTCAGTGGAATACAGGTTAGTGTGACCAGATTTGCGTTTGTCAAAACGTTTTCCCACTGGACACCGAAACATATGTGCTGCTTTGTACACTGTGCACATGGACTCACACTTGTCTCGACCGGAATGGAAAGCGTGGAATTTCTTGTACAAGTCATCGTTAAATACGTATATGTACTTCGGCACGTTGCAGACGGACTGACTGTTTGTGTTTGCTCGCTCCTTCTGAGTGCAGAGAGACACATGTACGGACCCTGTTTGGTCACGCTACACACAGCAACCTACAGTCGGTTTGTCGATTAAAATTAACGTAATCGATGAAATTCTTAATGATCAATTATCGATTAATCGACTAATCATGCCCATCCCTAGATAAAACAATAAACTACTTTTACTTACGTTTCCAACTTCTCCGTTCCTTTACTTTTCACGTTGTAATTGATCGGTCCGTCGGAAAATAGAGTCCCGCGCTTATTTCTGTTGTGGCTTTTTGTTGTGTTGACGCATTTGTATTTGTTGCGGCGTTTGTTTTTGTTGTGACCCCTCTCGGCTTCCGTACTCTTCTGGTGAGTGTTTGTGCAGTATTTCCCTCTCTTAATACACATAAAGATTAACAAAGAAAAATACAACTGTTTGTAATAATGTTTTCTTAAATATAATACAACTCCATATCGAAGTATTGTACATTTTCAGAATAAATTACTCTGATTGTAGTCTGATTCATCAGACGGTTTTACTTCGTGGAAACCGTCTGACCCGCAGGATTAGGATTTGTTCGCTCAACTGTACGTGGGTACTTTTTAATTTATCATCATGTCGTATGTAATGCGCCAAATCCGTAGGAACAAGGGCAATAACGTCTTTCCCCTTGATAAAATTCAAACTCACCTGGCCTTTGCTCATCTCACCTGTGCTCTCTGCTCTTCTTCTGTCCGACCAAAGCTGGCACACTATAACAGCAGTAACTTCTATACCAACTAGTGGTGATGTGTGAAAATGCAACTGGGCCAGATCAGCCAGTCTAATTAAAGATAGTAGCTTTAAATTAAATTCTAAAGCCCTATTTGCCTGGGATTAGTATTACCTCTGGACCTTTGGTGATTTGTAATAATTGCGGAGGATGCCTGAGATCTTAATCCTGTGAGAATGCACCATAATTCTGTCTGTAATTTGTAAAGTATAAAATCCGCCGCAAATGACCTACTTTGTTTCGTCAAAAACACAAACGTCCAGTGATAATACCAGTTTTCCTTTTCTGTCTCTTTCTTTTCTTTCCGTGTTCTTTTCTCTTTCAATCTCAGTCAGTGTCTTATCCTGTGAAAATGCGCTGCAAGTAACACAGAGGTGGGGCAGTAATTTGCAAATTACGAGATGTCCTTAGGTTGTACTTATCCCGTGCGAAAAGCGCTTAAGGCCGTATTCGCACAGGATTTGTTTTACTAGGTGTTAAACTGTAATAATTACAAACATCATCTGTGTTTCTAATCCCATGTGAATCATCCATGTGTGAAAATGTCTGTACAAATTCCCCTGTTTGACCTCCTGTAATTCTGTAATTAAAACTCAGAGCTCCTCAGGTGTCCTCAGGTGTGAACGTTCATGTCTGTAAATTGCCCTGTTTTTCGTCTGTGCAGTGAAGCTAATAGTGATTGAAAACGCCTCTATGGCCCAATATTTATTGTCCACGGACTATACTCTGACCCAGTTATTGTATTTTTCTACAATTAAAAAGTAAAAAAGATAAATCAAACTGAGATAAAGACGTGACCCGGACTTACAACAGTGTTGTTGTGGCAACAAAGAACCAGCAGCCAAGAACATATATGGAGAAGTTTGGAGCTTTTGGCGCAAAGTTTGTGAAGTTTGTCTGGAGAGGCTGTATTAGCGTGAAAGAGAGACTGAGGGACCTACACGAGAATGCTTGTGGGTAAGAACGACAAAATATTTTTTCGAAAGTGCCTTTTGTTTAGACATTGACAGTGTTTTGGGGGCTTAAAAATGAAAAAAAAAGCCATCCTCCAGAGTGGAAAAGTGGAATACGCTCCACCGTAGCGTTTCCGTCTACACTGCCCAAGACGCAAAACTCTGATCAGATCTGTATGTGACGCCTTTACCTCACATACATCACCACCTAGTGTTTAGACCTGGTTTAGACCTGGTTGAGACCTGGTTTAGACCTGGTTTTAGACCTAGTTTTAGACCTGGTTTAGACCTGGTTTAGATCTGGTTTAGACCTAGTTTTAGATCTGGTTTTAGACCTGGGTTTAGACCTGGGTTTAGACCCAGTATAGACCTGGTTTGGACCTGGTTTTAGACCTGGTTTGGACCTGGTTTAGACCTGGTTTAGACCTGGTTTAGACCTGGTTTAGACCTGGTTTTAGATCTGGTTTTGGACTTGGTTTAGACCTGGTTTAGACCTGGTTTGGACCTGGTTTAGACCTGGTTTAGACCTGGTTTTAGATCTGGTTTTGGACTTGGTTTAGACCTGGTTTAGACCTGGTTTGGACCTGGCATAGACCTGGTTTAGTGTCCGGCAATGAGTGGAATTACTGAAAAAAATAAAACAATAAAAGGGATATAGCCCAGTTACTCATAATTTGTACTCTGATTACATAACTCCGGTACATGTAATCTCTTGCTCCCCAGCACTGCCTGGCATGAATACCCAATCCAATTCCACACACTTATGCGTCACCATATGCACGCAGATTTCCTCCAGAAAACGCTCGTCTAAACACGGAATAAAAAGTGAAGACGCGACGCCACTTTTGCGACTTCTGTTCAGACCGTCATCATATAAACGTAGCCTGAGAACGTTTCATAATAAATCTGATCTTGTGGATGTCATCGTGTTTGCCGATGGTGTGTGACGGTACAGTGCAGGTGAATTCTGCTAAAAACAAACTGTAAATAAAAGCAACGTTGGCGACATGATGAATTAAGAGGTCCTTGTCTTGTTTCGGTGTTTATCAGTCCAACAGGTCGTTTACTGACATGTCTTATCCCCTGGTGAATGCTTAACTTTACTTTATCTGAGAAAGTTTTAGTTTGTCAAAGATTTGAAGATGTGAAGTAAGTTTGCATTTGTTTGTTATGGGCACTGCAATTGCGTTTTATTCTTTTCTTTAACTAACACAAGAGTACGGAAGCCGAGAAGGATAACAACAAACGCAAACGCCGCAACAAATACAAATGCGACAACACACCAAAAAAGCCACAATGCAAATGACCGCGGGACTCTATTTTAATGCAAACGCCGCAACAAATACAAACGCCACAACACAAACGCAAATGCCGCAACACATTAAAAAGCCACAACACATCAAAAAGCCACAACGGAAGTGACCGCAGGACTCTATTTTCTGACGGACAGATCAAGCGGCAAGTGAAGAAGAAGAACTACAACGTGAAAAGAACGGAGAAGTTGGAAATGTAAGTAAAAGTAATTTATTGTTTTATCATTATTCATTTCACATTGTAGTTCTTCTTCACTTGCCGCTTGGTTGGTCCGTCGGAAAATAGAGTCCCGCGGTCACTTCCGTTGTGGCTTTTTGATGTGTTGTGGCTTTTTAATGTGTTGTGGCATTTGCGTTTGTGTTGTGGCATTTGTATTTGTTGCGGCGTTTGCATTAAAATAGAGTCCAGCAGCCTTTTCCATTGTGGCTTTTTTTGGTGTGTTGTGGCTTTTTGTTGTGTTGTCGCATTTGTATTTGTTGTGGCGTTTGCGTTTGTTGTGACCCCTCTCGGCTTCCGTACAAGACACATCCATAACAACACACTCACCTTGTATTGCTTGACTGACCGACACTCCCCGCACAATGATCGGTCGTGTGCGCTGCGGCATGACCTGTAGCATGACCTGTAGTATGCGCCGTAGTACCATGCCCCGACGCGTTCTCCGTGCTGTTGACCGCGGTGTGCCCCGTGTGGACAGGAGGGGGCACTGCAGCGGTGGGGCTCCGGGCTGGACTCTGCTGGACACTCTGGGCGTTGGCGGAGGGAGTCTCTGGGATGCCGGCGATCTCGGGGGCGGGCTGGGTGCTGTTGAGCCACCTGGTCTGGTCCACGATGGTGCGAGCGTGAGGCAGCTTCCCCACGTCCCTCACCCGGACCAGCAGCTGCAGGCCCGTCTTCAGGATGTGCACCGCCTCGTCATGGGAGATGGTCACGAAGCTCTGGCCGTTCACCTCCAGGATCTGGTCCCCCACCTGCGAGAGAGGACAAACAGGATTACTCAAACATGTGAATGAAACAAAACACAACACCAGATATGTTTTGGATGAAGAAACAACATTATAACATGATTTAAAGCTCACAAGAGTCAGTTTTGTGTAATATAGAACCTTTAAATGACGTTCTACTAGAAGAGAGAGTTTTTATCCATAGCTGGGCTGGGTGATGTCGGATTAATCAAACAATTTGTCTCCAAATTTTCATCAATCACAATTTCGATGTGTTTATTATTTCTGATTAAAAACAATCAAAAATGTCTTTGGGTATTAAAGGTGCACTGTGTCACTTGTCTGTCTCCATGGAGATGTTATTGCTTTGCCCGGTATGTTTCAGAGTATGGCATTTAAATGTAGCCAGGTTGCCTTCACCTATTGCCTCAGCTCAATTTTATTTCTCTCCAGTGACTAGGTCAGGAATCAGAATACACTAAATGGTTTGCAAGAACCACGGAACTTGTAGACCGCACACCGGCCAATCAACGAAGAGCTGTGAAGCCATGACGTCAAACTCGTCAAGCCTGTCTGGGTCCCTTTTATGGTACAGCACAACAGTAAATAAAGCGGTCGAGATGGATGTAGATGAAGACAGACATTCTGTGTTGGCAACGATTCCAGAGATCGAGGATTTAAAGCCGGAATAAAGAGAATGTTTGGTGAATTTTATCAAGAGGAAAGACGTTATTGCCCTTCTTCCTACGGGATTTGGGAAAAGCTTAATACCAGTTAGCCCCGTTAGCGGTGCACTACATATGTCATGACCAAATAGCAGCGATTGGTTAAATAGAGAATGTGCCCGCCTAACACCGAGCGAGCGAATTCTAACACCGCGAGGTCATGAATCAGGCTAATTTAAAGGGCCCACATTACATTTTCCTGATCTATGTTATAATGTTTTCTGATCCCAAACAGACCTGGAGTTGTGTTTTGTTTCATTCACACTTGTTTAACACATAAATCCTTCATATTTAGACTGAGTTCTTTTCTCAGCCCTGGAATGTCCAATCTCCACTGAAAACTACTGATTTATGACATCACGAGGTGGAGCATTTAGAACTTTGGAGATGTAGACAGACTAATAATACAGGATTACTCAAACATGTGTGAATGAAACAAAACACCAGACACTCCAGATGTGTTTTTGATGAAGAAACAACATTTTAACATGACTTAAAGCTCACAACAGTCAATTTTGTGTAATACAGGACCTTTAACAATTGTTTTTACAACTGTTAATAATTATTTCTTTGGAAAGGGGAGAGCACATCATAATGAGCATATGTTTTATATGTAAATATGTCAGGTTATAGCCACAGGCTGGTTTTATCTGTTGTCCCTGGACAGGCTGATGATGACATTAAAATCACATTTAACACTAATATAATATCTCAAAGACTGGGAGCACAAACCAGAACACTTTTTCAATTACAGGAGTTGTAATTACTAACAAATAAAATAAAAATACACTACCGGTCAAAAGCTTTAGAAAGTTGTTGTTGTTTGTTTTTTCAATTATTAATTGCAATTCAAGTTATTCAAGTCCAATGAATAGTTTGAAATGATACAAAGGTAAGAACTGAACAGCCAGAGGTTAGTAAAAAGATAAAAGATACAAAACACAAGTCCAAGTTCTGCCAAAACTACCTCAGGAAAAAAGAACAAGATGTTGAGCTTGAAAACATGAGTGTCCAGGAGCACAGTGTCCAGACTTAAACATCGAACTGGTTTTGGGATTAACTGGGCAGAAGAGTGAAAGCCAAGTAAACTACAAGTGCCACACATTTATGGAAACTTCTGCAACAGACTTGGGAAGAACTTTCTGAAGAATATTTGATTTCTGTTGTAAAAGGAACAACCCATGAGTGTGTTCAGCTGTTATATCTGCCAAAGGTGGACATTTTGATGAATCAAAAGTTTAGAATACATTTTGGTCAACAGTAAAGCATAAAAAAATGTAAAAAAGTGTGGTGTTCTAAAACTTTTGTCCGGTAGTGTACATTTAGAGAAAGCATGTGTGGGGTCACTTCCAGAACTGGCCTACAACCTGGCCTGCTTGTCTCCATGGAGATAGACAAGTTTAATCCATACAGTGAAACATTCCAGACACATTGCAGTGTCGGAGTATAACCTGGGACCCAGCAGGTTCTGATGTCGAGAAATCAATTTTCAATTCAGTTCACTGTGTGTTTGCACAGTGCTTCAAACATGTTAAACAGCTGGATAACAAATACTACCGAGAGAAAGGAAATGTTTACAATCACAAACAAAGATCATTTAGATTTCCTCCTGACATTTTGTATGCAAATTACACCAACCATTATGTCATTCATTATCCTTTCAAAATGTGCAAATATGGACTTTTCATTCTGAATGAGAGAGGCTGTACAGCTCAGCCCCGACAAGGATCAATGATGAAAATACAAGTGTGAACTTTCTACAGTCGTATCAGTCAGCTTACTCCTGGAGGCAACCTGAACAGAGAGTCTTAAAGAAGAGTCTGGGAGTTAAAGTAGTTCACAGACATGTCTCTTTATTGGCTCAAAACAGGTACAGGTCTCCGATTCAAGTTGATTTACATGCTTCAGCCACACTGCATCTCTTCACATCGCCCCTCGATGACGTCCGCTTCAGACGACGTCCCCCGATATCGACACACAGAAAAACACGTAGCTTTATACAATGAATCTGACAAATATTAACTGACTGCATCACTTGTTGATTTAGCATTTTCAGCAGAAACATGCACAGCAGTTTTGACCTGACACATGTGCGATACATATTATCATGGAATGGTATAGGTTAAAGGTTCAGACCCGCCCCTTTTCTGTCTCATATACATTCAAAGTCCATAACAACATCATATCCCGTCAACGAACTCAGTGACTTCAATATTACATGGTTGAATTAACATGAATGAAACATTAAAAACAGAGAATGATTCCCACATATCCCTATACAGCACAGGGCAGAATTATTTTTAGTTTACTTTTTACTTTAGTTTACTGTACTGTAATATTATTATTGAAGTAACAGCACTCTAACTTTTAATAGATTTAGTGATTCTTCCCACTGTGAGAAAGTCTACAAGATCCATTTGAGTTTCTCCTTCAGGCATTATTTAATTTTCTTAAATATTATAATTAAATCAGATGTTACATCTCAACAGTTACTCTTTAAAGATGCATTGTGTAACTTTTCTCGTTGAAGGTCCATCAAATGCTTGTCTCTATGGTAATGTTATTGCTTTGTCTGTTATGTTTCATAGTATGTTTAAATGTGATGTAGAGCTGTTTAGTTTAGTCCTGGTTTTAGTCCTGGTTTAGACCTGGTTTAGACCTGGTTTAGATCTAATTTATATCTAGTTTAGATCTGGTTTAGACCTGGTTTTAGACCTGGTTTAGTCCTGGTTTAGTCCTGGTTTAGTCCTGGTTTAGTCCTGGTTTAGTCCTGGTTTTAGACCTGGTTTAGACCTGGTTTAGATCTAATTTATATCTAGTTTAGATCTGGTTTAGACCTGGTTTTAGACCTGGTTTAGTCCTGGTTTTAGTCCTGGTTTAGTCCTGGTTTAGTCCTGGTTTTAGACCTGGTTTAGACCTGGTTTAGATCTAAATTATATTTAGATTGGTTTAGACCTGGTTTTAGACTTGGTTTAGTCCTGGTTTAGACCTGGTTTTAGACCTGGTTTAGTCCTGGTTTTAGACCTGGTTTAGATCTAATTTATATCTAGTTTAGATCTGGTTTAGACCTGGTTTTAGACCTGGTTTAGTCCTGGTTTTCCTGTTTAGTCTGGTTTAGACCTTTATACCTGGTTTATCCTGGTTTAGAGTCCTGGTTTAGATCTAGTTTAGACCTGGTTTAGTTTCCAGCAATGAGTGGAATTACCAAAAAAGAAAAAAAAAAAGAAGGGGGGGTACAGCCCAAAATGGGGAACCAGGAAAATATCGCCATGTAATCCATTGTAACCTGTAATCCAATTACCACTCACTGAAGCAGTAACTGTAACTGAATACAGTTACTCATAATTTGTACTCTGATTACATAACTCTGGTACATGTAATCTGTTACTCCCCAACACTGATTATAACATACAGTAGATTCAAACATTTTACAGTACAAGCTCTTTAACAGCATCCTAATGGCCCAAATTGTTCTATTTATAATGAGAACTTGAACTTGCGTGTGTTTTTTCTCCATAAAATCAGGCCCGGGAGCAGTACTATATATAGCCAGTGTAAAAGTCTTGTTTCCTTAATCTGGAGTAAAGTAATTCTATTGTATAAAAGACCCCCGCTGTGGTTTCCCATTAGCTCTTTGTTGTAGATTTCACGGCAATTACTCTCTATACAAATGTAGCTTTGGGCATAGTTGGGTCACTTACGGTTTAAAAAGGGTTTCTTATAATAAATACTGTAACTCCTCCTCTATTTTTTATTATATGTATGGATAAAAATAAGTATATGCATAAGAAACAGGGTTCATCATTCATTCATTAAACCTGCTATTTTGTTCTCTTAGTTAAGGTTGTTTTGTTTATACATTTGTGTACATATTTTAGATCCTTTTAATGAATTTAGAGTTACACGATTAGACAATATAATTATGCCTTTTGTTATTTTTGCTACTTATTTTGAATGTATTATCACCATTTACATTTTCTCTCTTTGTATTATAGTATATTGTGATGTGTGAGCTGCTGTGTCCAAGTACCGTTTTTTGGTCTACAAGTCACAAAAGCCAAAAATGCGTAATTTAGAAGAAAACGTCACATATGAACAGTTCTTCAGATAATTATAGCACAAACAACAGAACAGAAAAAGTTTACCAAACTCTCCATCTCACTCCAAATCACCAATCGCTGTTTGATTTTTCAGCTGCATATTTCAGTACTTGCAGCTTGTAATCTGCAAAATATGATTTTCTTTTTGGGGACATTTGTGTTCAGTCTTCTCAGTCGTCTTTATAAAGTTTGCTTTAAGTTA